ACATGGTAAGATGATGTCCAAAAAAATCCAAAGAAACCACATCTCATGCAAAGATCTTAAAAGCTGTTTCTGAATCAGAACTTGGACAAGAAAACCATAAATGCCAAAGTCACATTTGTTCCTAAATTCAATCTCTTCTGCTACCAAGTTAATAACCAGAAGAAAATTGAACTGATTAAAATTTCAGCTTTTCTCTCTTTTTAAATTTATTATCTGTAAAAATCGAGTAGCAAACTGATAAGACAGCTAGGGAAAAAATCAAAAAGACATTCTTTACACGGAACCAGAGGCCTCACACAGGGATCTGCTTCATTTATTTTTCAAAGACTGATGGAGAAAGAACACAGACATAAAAAGAAATGAGACATAATTGTATCTGTATTTGAGCAATCGAAAGAGCTCTGTGATCCATATTACGCTGATCTACCAGGAAGAAGAAAAACAGCAAAACAAGTGCACCCATCATTGCTACATCTCTCAATCTCATATGCCTACACATTAAATACATATGATGATGGGCAGAAGAATGTCCAGGTTTTCATTCCAAGAATCTGTGACCATATTTCTTTCTATGAAAGGAGAAATGAGGTTGCTAATCAGTCTACCTTAAAGTTGGAAGGATTAATTGCAAATTACACTTGCAATGTAATCCCAAGGATATTTAAAGGATTGGACCTATACTTGCTGTTTTGAAGGTTGGGGGGAGGCACAGCAGAGAGATTCTTGGACTTGGAACTTGGAAAAGGCAAGGAAACAGGATGAAAAGGGGGCCATGGTCAGAAAAAAGATGAGAAGCACTAGTCAAGACTCCTTGTTTTCTGGAATCTAGCACTGCTGTAGAAAAAACAAAATTTGGTGGAGGAATCCAGCTTCTTTATGAGAGAAGAATTAAGAGGACAGGCTGTTGGATATTAACCCTAAGTTTTATAGGTTCATTAGTAATTGCCCCTTTTCCTCATCCCAGCAAAGCTTACATTACTGTTGCAAGCATCCCTATTCCCCTGAGTTTATATTTAGCCTTTACTTTGTGTTTTACACCTCATTGTCACAGTTCCCCAAATCAATCTTGGTTAGTTATAAGCCAAAACTTTCTGGTAATTCTGGATTTTGCATTCGTAGTGGATTACTTGCTTTTCTATTTCCCCTACAGCCTTTTCATATTTTACTATAGAGCAATGTTCTTTGTTTAAACACAAAAAGACATTATTGCTATGCTCCTAATATTTGGAAGTTGATTGACTCTGAAATATATCTACTCCTGGGCACCATCATAATTACTTGATCCAGGCTTCAGTTGCTGTAGTTCCTAACACCCCAAAAGGAAGATACCACTGTGGGACTGGGATGGACTCAGGGCGAGTGACAAAGCTAACCTGGCATCAAAATGGGACAATTTAGAAGGCATGAATGCATGATCTTGATGCAAGTTGTTATGACTTAAGAGACAGGACCCTCATGGGGAGGACAAGCTGAACTGGCCTGAGGACTTAGTCTGGGATTTACCAGTAAAAGCCTTGCTTGCTCTCTGAGAACCAAGAGTCCAGAGAACTAAGTTTAGGATCTTTATCTCTTACTGTGTTTATCCAAACAACTGCAAGTATTGGTAAGAAGTTGACTTAAGTGTTTGATTGATACAATTAAGACAATTAATACAATTAATTGTCTGATTAATTGTCTGATTAATTGTTTGATATATACAATTAGAAGTAAACAGAAAAGTAATATAGATATCCCTGGAAGACAGAGCATCTCCTTGAGTTTATCTCCTCCAGAGAATTGCCTCTGCTGGAATGTTTTACCTCTGTAAATCACATGGACCTGCAGTCCTATACCTCTGACCCCTTCAGATGTTCTATAAGTTTGCTGGCAGCTCTGAATTAAATGGGCCATTTTCACCATCATGCTGTGGTTCCCATCTCTCTGTCTCTCTGCTAGGGAAGCCTGGGGAGGACATGAGGGGCTCTCAGTCACCGAACACATGTGTCACGCAGCACCCACACATTTTGTGAGCCCACAACAGGTAATTTTGGTTCCTGAACTAAGCAACCACAAAATAATAAACCTGTATTGTTTAAGTCACTACAGCATCAACTAATATGTAAATGATCAAAACAACTATACAACTGCTAACATTTTTGGCTACAAAAATAAGGCATCCAGAGAACTCAGAAGAAAAATGTGTTTAATTGACAACACCAACTAACTTGTGATTCCCTTCACGGATTCTCTGTTATTCTCTCTTGATCGATGATAATCTATATGTAAAGTGGGACCCTGGCCTCCAGACCTCCAGTTTGCATCCACAGCCAGACACTGACACCTGGATTTGGCTCCATCTACATAACAGATGCTGCAGACATTGGGGAACTATAAGAAACTGATACCACCCATGACTCTTAAATCTTGACAAAAAATGTTTCTTTGCAAAGCTATACATGTTATTTATCAGAAAAGCTAGAGTGGGACCCTTTGAAGAGTTTGCTGTCACCTGCAGAGCTTCCTCCTCCACAGCAGGATGCTGCTGCCACCATCCTGAGCACCTAGTCATGAACACACAGTACCCAGAACCATCCCCATGCCCCTACTCGGATCCTGCTCCGTTCCTTCAGACTGAGCCCAAAGATAACAACACAGTCTTAGAAAGAGCGAGACTTACTTCCTCTAAGACCTGTAGTCTTTCAGTGTCTAAGTGTTCATCCCCAGAAAGCATTCCTTTGGAGGAATTTGACAGTATTTCCTCTCCATCTTATCTATGCATAGATCAACAAACCCAGCACCCGAATGATTATCATTTATAAGAACACTACTTTGTGTAATTGAAGAGGAGGAAGAAAAAACATGCTTAATAGCAGGCAGAAACCTGATGTCCACATCATACAGCCTGGGAGATGTCCTCTTGGGGAGAGAGGCCATAGCCTATGAAATGTGAGGACAGGAAGGCTTTCAGACACAATGCAATCAGTGAAGAGTGGAACCGTCCACGAGAAAAGTGGCTACAGACATTTTAGAGGCTTGACTGAACTTTCCACTTCCTGTGGCTTGCTTGTATAAATGGTTCCCTGTTTTTCTCTTTCTTCTCTTCCAGGGATGATTTGCACTTGAATCACCAACTCACTCATATCAACTGAAGTGCACTTAGAAGGCTGCAGTTACAATCAGAAGGAGTTAAGGAGTTTCTTTCTTGCACATTTCTAGACTCATTACTATGATTCTGTATAGCTGCTCAGACCCTCAGCAGTTCCAGACCAAGTTTCCGGAATAGGCGTCTCTACAGAGAGGTCTGTGTCCCTGAGCAAACCTGGTTCAAGAAGTCAAGATGCAAAGATGCTCAGACTGTAGCTAAGAACTCAGTTCAGAACCTGAGACTTGTGGGGGGAATGTCATTTCTTTTTCCTGGTTTTCTTTCTTTACAACCAGTACTGGGTCAAGATTCCAGAATTCAGAAATGCAATGAGAAAGGATAGGATGCAAATTCAGATAAAAGATTTTAGGGTGGTTTTCACTAATACAGATGTCACCCAGAGCCAGAACGCAGCTGTTCTCATCCCCAAAAACAATCCCTAAAGGCACCTAGGCTAACTACAAAGTCACATCCTTTCACTCATAGCCATGATGGCCTTAGAATCGGATCAGGGCAGAGATGGACCAAGCATATCCAGAGCCATAGGCAAAACAAATAAGTAGTATTATCAATGGAAAGATTTACAGGAGCCACCAGTTATTAACTGTGTCAACATTTAGCAAGACCTGTATCTACAGAAAAATATGGACTCTTGAAAAAAATATGTGATATTTGTGCTACCTCCCAGCTGGTCAATAACCTTCTCTCCATGCAATATTCACTCACACACAGAAATGGAAAATTCACCACAATCATGATAAACCAAAGGACAACTGAAGAATCAAATACTTATTGTGAACCAAGAAATATTCCATATCAACAAATTTAATTCCCTAGAAAAGACCTTGAATTAAAACAACCTTTATTGAGACAATCAGATAAAAGTAAGATTTTTCTCAACACAGCCATATTCCATAAAGAAACCAATGACCTGGATAGAATCTTCCTGATCTCATTCTTATGCCAGCCACCTACACAGGTGGAGGGAAGTAATTTTCTCAATAGATCTTGCATAAATAAGACATCCCAAGATAATACATTAAAAATATTTCCCAAGGCGGCAGGGACCTCATGGGAAGGGGGGCGTTCCGGTCCATCCTTCATGCCCTACCGAGGTCACCAGTTGCCCCCCATGAGCGACTCTCCGGCACGGCCACGAATCCAGAGCACAGAAACCAATCTCTTAACTATCTAACTTTTAACAGAAATACTTCCAGGGTTAATAAGTAAAATAGCAGAAATCCAAAACCGCGCGGCTGCTATTGCGGTTGCGTGACATCATTTAATTCTTAAACCCAGCTGTAGAAAGCAAATCATTTCACGATGCTTTTTCAGCATGTCTGATTTGGGGGGGGGGGTCGTAAACTCTAAATAATAATGGTGCATCTTTTATTGAAACAATAAATCTAGTCAAAGTAGATAGAGTGTTAACTAGAACTCATCTGCCTCACAGGAATTGGGAGGGGTGAGAGGTGGGGTTCTATTGGGGTTCGCGGGTAAAAATAAGTATTGGTAAAGGGAAATGTGTTTGATATTTACATGACTGAAACCTAAACCTGAAAGCTCTGTAACTTTTCCCACAGTGATTCAATAAATAAATTATAAAAAAAAAAATTCCCCAAGACAGAGTCTCGGTTGGTTGCTTCAGTCCACTAAACTGAAAGAATGAAAAAGATCCAATATTATCCTAGAGAAATAAGGTTATCATCAACATACAGCTTTATATGTACATAGGTATATTTTTCTTTCTCCAGTCTTAATAGAATAAAATCACAATAATCTCTTTCTCCCAACTGCCAAATTCCGACCACCTGCCCCACACACAGCCAAGGGATCAGTCACATTAATTTCTTCTGTCTCTCCCCCAGATTGACCTCACCTTGTTGAAATCTTCAGAAGTTGCCCTCATCTCCTTCCATGTCTTGTTCAGGAGCTGGATACAGATGCAGAAAAACTCCTCAAATGATCTGTCATTGGTGAAGAACATCGGGTGGAAGTCATTGCTGGTCTCACTAGCTGGAGGAAAAAGGGAAAGAAGAGATGAACAATAAGAAGAATAGAGAGGGGTCATACAATAATTCAATGGGTAAAGAACATGATGAGCCCTTGTTCAATCCCCAGTATCCCACATGGTCCCCTGGTCACTGCCAGGAGAGATTCTTGAGCACAGAACCAGGAATAAACTCTGAGTACTACCAGGTGTGTTCCACCCTGTTTTCCCAAAGAAGTATGTACATAAGAGAGAGAGAGAGAATACAGGCATATGTAGGCACTTCAAAGAAAAATGATGGGAGACCATTTTAATTCAGCAGGAAAACAGCATTTTGAAAAACCAAAGTAGTCTATTTGTGCAACTTAGGGAGGCCCCTGAGAAACCTCGAGTTCAAGGTCCTGTGGTCTGGCCTGCCCCCAAGCACAGGCTTTAACTGAAAGAAATCAGGTTCTAGCTCAACCTATGACATGTCTCTATGGCTTAGATCATGCCTGATGTTGCCTGTGGATTCTGTCTCTGTCCTCTTGACCTTAAAAGACTCTTCAGATGGCCCTCTCACAGCCCCTCCACGACCCTCAATTTTCTCTTTCTGAACAGATTCATTGGTAGAAGATGAGCTCTCATGAATACACAATTAACTGCAACTTTGAAAACAGCATCCTCTATTATTTCTCCAGGGGGCTCTTTTCCCTCTTACAGTAGCAGGAAGTAGGGGACATTTGAGATCATTAGCCATCTGACTCCATTAACCATTTGCTTTACAGTCCGAGACACAGATGGCTCAAGGTCAAAGCCATCAAAACAGTCTAATCCTGAACATAGCCATGAAGTCGACCCAAACTGCCTACTAACCTCCTCACTTTGCTCGCTGGGAGATCTGGGCTCTGGGCTCGAGGTGTGACCCTCCTGTCCCCCTTCCAGACAAGCATCCCCAGCTCCTCCCTTCTTCTCAACTCTCTGACAAGCTTCCGTCTTTATAGCCTTTTTATAAACACCCCATTGGATCTTTACAATGTTTTTTGCTATTTATGTCTATGAATAAAGACCCTGGAGACCAATGAACTAGGCTTTGTGACCCCTAAACACAGCGCCATAAAAATATATCTAAGCTATAATGTACACTGAAAGACTTTCTATTTTAATAGGAATCTACTTCAATGGCAATTAGTCTTCAAGGCCCCAAATGTGCTATTTCAAGCCCTGGGAGCCAGGGGAGGAAGAGGGGGAAGGATGGGGGCAGAGTGCTAGCAAGACCTGTGTGCTCAGAGACAGACTTGGTGCCACCTTGTCACTACGGCTGATTGCACTTAGAATCCGCTGGCACAGGCTTCCTGCCAAGTGAACCTTGATCAGGCCCAACATGCCCTGTGCATGCAGGGCATGGGACATTAACACTGGTCTTTTCGTCTATCTTCAGTCTTCAGGGGTGCAGGCAATTCCAGATCTCAGGAACAATTTCAAAAATATACTGGTGCCCTTTTGGTATACAGCTTACCACCTCTGAAAGGTGTTATCTGACAGGCAGGCCTGTGAATGTGATTCTTTTTGCAGAACAACTAAGGACATAGACTGGCAGTAACATCAACCATACCAAAGGACTTGGGTGAGGGAACAGAACATCTGAATTCAGTCCAGTCCTTATCAATTAGATACAAGTCACTTCACTTTTTTGAGCCCTGATTTTCTTTATGTCTTTGTTTTATTTTTGCTGCAGTACACTGCAGGGTTTACTCTTGGCTCTGCATCAGCCATCACTCCTGGTCGTGTCTGGATCAAAGCAGGGTCAGCTAAGGCAACCACTTTAAAGCCTGCATTCTCTCTAAGACTGAGCCCTGATTTTCTTTAAATAAATAGTAATGAAAATCTTGTCTATTTTCAGCAGTCATTAGAGATGACCAAATGACATAACTGATGCAAAAGTGATTTCTGAGGAAAATTCTGAGAGAAATACAAAAGGGGGTGCTGGTAATGATAAATGAACATTGCGCTAACATATTATTTCCAGGAAAAAGGGCCAAAGACGCAAGTCTAGTCAAGTCTGCTCACATCTAGAAAATTAAAGAGAAAATAGATAATTCATCCCACTCTCAGCCCAGGTTGAGTGGTTGAGAGGGGGCAAAAGTTCTGATCTAGGGGCCAGAGCGATAGCACAGTGGGTAAGGTGTTTGCCTTGAATGTGGCCGACCCAGGTTTGATTCCCAGCATCCCATATGGTCCCTCAGCACCGCCAGGAGTAATTCCATAATTCCTGAGTAAAGAACCAGGAGTAACCCCTGTGCATCACTGGGTATAACCCAAAAAGCAAAAAACAAACAAACAAACAAACAAACCCAAAAACAAACAAACAAAACAAATAACAACCAAAAACTGAGCAAGTTCCAGTCTCGGCTGCTGGAAAATGAAGCCTGAGAAAGTCATGCCTCAGTCTTCTTGTATGCAAACTGGGGGCAGCAAGTGGAAACAGTGATGGCAAAAAGCAAGCTAAACAAAAGTCAGGGCTCCTAGTTTACCACATGGTCCCCTCTCAGGGACATTCCACTGGTTTTAAGCTGCTAGCAGCAGCTGATAACAATGGTCTATGTGTCAAGGATAGGTCTTCTAATTCAGAGGTTTAACCAAACCAACACGAGCAGGAACCATGAGGTTTATTGTTTTTTAATGAAAATAAAAACACTGTGGTGGAAAAGCATTGAATCAGTTGGCAATGATTTTATAAATGAAATTTAGAGAGAAACTCTCAATGAGACCAAAATAGTAAGGCCTTCAGAAAGCAAATTGTTTTTAAGTACATCACTTTTAACACAATGAGATTCTGCTTCATAAAAAAGAATTCACTTAATGGTTTTTTTAAGTCTGGAATATTAGGGTACTTTTCAGGGATGAAGGTTAAATGAATATTACTAATTTGTTGCCATCTGATAAATATACCAGTTTTTAAAGCAGCTATATTCCATACACATACATTTTAAAAATAAGAATAAGAGTGGGGAATATTAATGCAGTATATTGTCTTTTAAAGTAGATTTGTTACTATTTTGCCTTGGATTAGGGAAGGTGAGGCAAGTATCATTACTGGAATCTGAAAATAACCATAAAAGCGAGTAAACCATGAGAGTATAGAGAAATGGGCTACATGTGGTACATGACCTTGAGAAGGTCATCTCGGGCCAGACTCCAGTTTCTAACCTGTGAATGAGACACTGGGAGGGTTCTTTCAAAACACAACTTCTGTCTGTGTTTTGACACATATATGCACAAGCATGGGGACACACACACACACACACCCATACACACACACACCAACAGTATTTTTCCAATTCTCCAATGCCATCAATAACTCCAGAACTTTGTGTCTGTGCTTTCACTGAGCTTTATCTCTTAATTATTATCCCTTGGAATGGCAAAATGACTTTCACACATTTCAGTTAGTGTGTTAAGGTATCGAATGACATTTGATAGACTTTAAAAATATTTGATGAGCTAGTATTTACTCATTCTTTCAGGAGAAAATTATTCGTTGTTTTCACACCCTTTCAATTTTCAGTACCATGTAATGCAGACCATTACATAAGAAAACTACTTAACTAAAGATAGAATGACAGATGATACAGGCAAATGAACAAAATTTCTGCTTTCCTGGGAGTTTTCAATGACAAGTATAATTCCTGAGGTGTCGAGAAGTTCTTCCATGCTTGTTATGACATATGCTGAGAGATGGCAAGTTCATTTGCAAATGACTGGAAGGACACAGATTTGGGAAGCAGTGGGCAAATGCTGAATATTTTGACCATGCAATTATGAGCTAATTCTCCTCATCTTTAGAAATGGTGTACTTTGAAAGAAAGATAAGCACAGACCTACCAGAAAATTATGAGGTACAACAAAGAGATAAACCATACAGCACAAAAGCATTTAAATACACGAAAAATTCAAGAGAGGTTATAAAGTCATACTTTTATCTGAAGCATAAAAACTCAAATGAGAACTAGTCATGGATCTAGAGCCAGTGTGGATAATGTCTTTATAAATTCTTAGGTGCATATATATACATATATATATACATATACATACATACATGTATATAAATATATTTGATATCTTTGTATAAAATCTTACTCTGTATCCTTTGAGTGTGCTAATTTTAGACCTCGTCTTTATGAATTTTCAGATGCAAATACACACACACATATACACACATTTCAAATATTTGATATCTTGGCAGAAAATCTTGTACTGCGTCCTTTGAGTTTGCTATTTTTAGACCTGGCACTGTTTAATGGCATGGATGTGCAGGGTGGTGATGTGTGGGAAGGTGTTGGAAGTTCAGAACCTTCTGTAGGTGGAAGAGGTGAAAAGAGGAGAGGGAGGGCAAGGAACTCCAAGTTCCTTGTTGCTCCCAAGTTTCCTCAGTACCAAAACCACCACCCAGCTATTTCAGGATAGGGGATCAGAGGAATGAAACCTGCTCAGCTCTTCACAGATCCTGAAGTCTGCTTTAATAGAAAGTTAGATATTTCTCCTATCCCTTCTCATGCCTAAAAATAGTATGAAATCTACACTAAAAAGACACACAGCTAATCCAATGCTTCACTGTTCACCTTCCCTATGGGCCTTTTATTAAGGACCCTGAAAGTAAAAAGTGCAACTGAACCAGGTAAGGGCTGAAATCGGACTCCAGATTCAGTAAGGATAACACGGGGCCACATTCCAGACACAGAGTGTGTTATAGAAGAGCAGAGATTCTAGACTGAGGTTGTCCTGGGTACAAATCTTGCTGTATTACAAACATCAACATAACCTCAATCAACAGACAACTCCTCTGGACCTTTAATTTCCTTACTTGAAAAGTAGAAAATGTTCCAGATTTTGTCTTATTTCTTCTAGCATCCCATTTGATATCTAACTATTAACTTAGATAAAGTAAGCACTCAGCTGTGTTAGCTGTTGCCAATTTAATCTTATTTAGATTTGAAAATTTATTGTTGGGCCTCCCAAACAGAGCTGAGAAGGCCCAGGAGCATAT